AATATTGTTTATTATACACAACAAGTATGATTTAAAAATACATAGCTTGAAATTCATAACTTTTCGACATAGAAGGGAAGTTAAATAAAAAATCTATTTTTAAAACCCGGTAGTATGAGTATTAAATTGCACAAGTATTAAATATTACAATTTAATTCTGCACTTAGTAATATAATTAGTTCACTTGCCAACATTCAGGCTTAGTTCTTTGTCAGGAGGGATATTTCCTAACTCTGTGGCATAGCTTTTCGCATTTAAATCCTTTTCATATTCCGAACAGTAATGTCAGGAATCTGTTTTTCATCGGAATACTAATGATAAGACAATTTAAGATGTACACATGTGAGTTTTAAATAATACAATTTTATTCGTGGTCGCAATAAAATACACGAGCCTAAAATTAAAACAATATAGATGTCATGAAAACAAGCACGGCAAAGTTCTGATCAGTACAACTTGCAAGAGAAAGTTAAACCGTATCAAAAGGTTTTAATGTTTTCCGGCGCTTCTTTTGATTGCCGCTCGGCGATGTCCTCGACTCGAATATACGGTGTTCAACACCTCTCGTAGTGGCTGGTATTGGGTGTGGATGCGCTCCGTAACACCCTTTCCTCCCACAAAGTGCAGGGAACAAGCGTACGTATCCTGGTTGATTCTGTGTCGACCAACATTGTCTGCCAGAGAACAGGCACTGATCCATCGATCACACTTTTCAGACTGCGTTTTTGGTTAAGAGAATCGCAAAAAAAAACATTCATACAATTTTTGTATCGAAAGCGAGAATCACTCTTACATTTGCCGTAAGCGCACCGTTTGACTCCTATTGGGACAGTGATTGTTTTGTTATGACGTTTACAACACGTAGGACAATGTGGTTGCTACCTTATTGAACTGAAAGCTTGACCTGTATCACGTGACTCAGTTGGTTGCTAAGGTGCGTAAACCGTGGTCACGCGTGATCTCACAGCTTGCAAAACATGGCTTATTGTTATACATATGCTATGAATAGTTTTATATGGGAGAATCAATCAAAAGAATACACGTACCTGTGACACAAAACGGTTCAACATAGCCCGTAACATGAGAGGGGATGTGTTTTCTGCCATAAGCCCACGGGCAAGAGATGTGGGAATTCCGCCTTCGCCAGAAAATAGTTTGATTAATGTTTGCTGAAGTATTGGGTTTTCTCGTCTACTCTGTCCATCGAACAATGAGCCAATCATAGAGCGTACTCCTGTCAGACCTGTAAATGTAATAATTAAATACTGCTATATATATGACATGTATAAGGTACATTGTCGTACGTATGTTCATTTCACACTGATGTATTTATTAGCTTTTTATGTGAGTATAATTATGCACCAACTAAAGTGTTGTTGGATTAATTATACGTTGAGAAAAGTACAAACCTGCCTGTATCGCTGATAAAATCAGTTCAACTAACCTGTCTGCCCATATTATGAACCGTTATCGTGTTCATCTTTTCATTTCCGAACAACGCCTCAAATTCAACAAACATGTACGAGTGCATTAAATGCGATTAGATTATCTGCACTGATTTATATATATACATTAACCGACATGTTAACGGACTTTGCCGTGACCTGTCGAACCACGTTTGTATTAATATACGGCCGCGAATAGGACCGGAATCACGGCCAGTACATGTAACATGTATAAGATACGTGTGTAATTATTTCAGTTTTTGGGTGGCTTCAAGTAAAACAAACCCTGTTTACCGATAGCGTGGAATTGTGAACATACAATACACTAAAAGATTCATACCAGATCCAGCATGTGATACAACTACATGAGAACATTATTCACTGTAAAGGTAAAATGTCGACACTAAGGCTGTCAAAGTATTTGAATACAAATACCACTTCTGGTTCGGTAGTACTATTTCACTGGTATACTCACTGTAGCTGAGGGAAATCATGCAAATCAACACAATACCACGTAGTCGAGCCATGTTAACCGTTGTCGCTTGAAGTCAGACAAAACAGTGAGTAGTTAGCTGTAGGCAAAGTTCATACATCATGTGATCAATAAGTCGTTGTGATTGGGCGAGATAATATTTTATAAAGTTAAATAAATACTTTGGTTGCGGCAACTCATTCACGTCATCGGATGCGAGCAGCAAAATATTATTATCTGGATAGAAGTTGAATATTTCTCTTTAAACTAAGAAACAGCCCAGATAATCAACAGCTGCTCGCCGTTTTCTAAGGTTACATGAGCTTATGATATAGTTGCATTTTACTTTTCAGAAGCAGGTCGGTTAGAAAGGCAAATCTATCGATGTCTCATCGATGAGTGAAAATACAAGCAAATAATAACATCCCTGACTTTGGCCTGTTTTTTGGGTAAAATCATCGAACCTGCAAGTACTAAGCGCTGCTACAGACAGTTTCAATCATTAATTCTTGCCCTCGCCCTATTACACTTAGCCAAGATGTTCTGGCCAATGCCAAACGCAAGACAGACTTGCAGACATTCAAAACAATGCGAATTTCTATTAAATGTGTTACATATACATAAACTGGTATAATCCCAAAATACCATACATGTAACTTACGTGGTTGTGTTTGTATTAAACACATTGTGTTTATGGTCGGATTCAGAGATATTACATGTACCAGGTATAATATACTTGTATATATGTACTTACTTAAGTTTTTAGATGGACACATCGGCTTTAATAAAACATAACCGACAGCGTCGAATTGTGTCAGCTAGTTAACATAATGGCATTTAAGATAACTGAGTACACCAACGAATACAAATGTATTCAAATGTATACAAATGTATACAAATGTACCATGGAATAACCAGCAGGTACGTAAACTACAGAATTTGATGGCGTGAATGATGATAAAGTCATTATGGCCATAAACAGATAACATATGTAAGGTAAATAGTTTAATAATACAATATTTGAGTAGACATAGATCGAGGCTTAAATGAAAAACGAGCCTCGGCTACCCAAGATATAGAATTGTTAACCTTGGAGTACCCTAATTCGATGATACTATACACACAATACATGTGTGAAAGTTATATCTGAAGCCTAATCACCCCGCTCAATACTATTCCTATTATATCAAGTAATGGGACAACATCGTGTTGCTGGGAATAATGAGTAGAAAATATACGGCCCATGCCGAACACATTCATTACTTTTCAGATTTCGAGGCCCTCTCGAGCCAGTGGCCTCGGCCAGTGTCTCATTTTCTATATTTCATCCTACTTCGTGCCTGCCTTGATTGAAGTGACGCGATTGATTATCACTTTCCGACTTGTATAATATTTCATGTGAATATTCATTAGGTATTAGCATGATGTGGATGATCGACACGTTTTTGTTAATTATGTTATATTTAAAGCTTCGTCATTCAACGATATCCTTATTATATTAAGTATTGGAAAAATGTCATGTTTCTCCCCGCTGTCAAATCGCATTACACGAACTCCCGAATTCCAACCACACTACGCCATTATTCCCCCACTCTTCAAATTTCCCCTACTCTCCCAATACTTAGTGACTGCACACACACACACACACACACCTTTGTAACTAAACGGTGTTTCTCTACAATCCACGTTTAGGTCCTTGAGGTACTCCTAGAAACTCGTACGCTGCCTGGGAAGACAACAGCTACTGTTGAATGTCTCCCGAAGCATGACAAACTAACAAATTACACTCACCATGATATGTGCTTGCTTTGTTACATTCCATGCTGGCTGCTGGCTAGGTATCTCGTGAAAAACATGACCACACATTACTTGACACGGATGCCCAAAGGTGTTGGCCCTTTACTGCCTGATCGGGCAAGATGTCACTCATTTAAACTCGATACACTTGATATATCTTGTCAATGATGTGTTTGAGCCACCGTTGAGCACTTCAGCCAATTCATCATTTGTGCTATTTTGTGAACCACATGGATGAGAGCCTACACTGACTGTGTGTATATGACAACGTCCGACTTCCTGGATATAATTCAAATAAGTAGTAGCTTAGGTATGAACCGCAGTTAAGCATGTAATAATGTTATATATGTGTAATAATTCAATTTTGTCGATTTTTTTGTTATTACTTTTAACCGCCGAAAACCAACGCCATGTAGCAATGCCGGTAATAGAAGCAGATGAACCACTATTGCTATATTGTTTACATAATTATAAATTTATATCATATAGATTGACGAGTATTAAGAAATAGTCACAATATTCGGTGACACATTTTGTCATGCATGAAGTACGTTATTAATTATGATTCCAGTCATGTAGTGTTCCAACTAAGTCACATTTGTCCACAGGACGTTAAATTGCACAATGACCTTTTCGACCGATAAACTGGTTAATAGGTTTTAATTAAGTTATTGTTGGTCACCGAGAACAGCGCGTTGTTCAAAAGAATCGTGTCCATACCCCGGAAGTGGGTGGATTGAAACAGTAATAATAATACTTTTATTGAATTTATGTTATAAATTGGAAAACAACAGCTGCAGCCATTCAATGAAATGGCACAATATGCCATATTGGCATTTTGAACTGCTAATTCAAAACAAATAATTTCAATAATAAAAAATAATAGTGTAATTGTTAATATTGTGAATGCTTTTTCTAAAGCTTGCCACTAGGAAAATCATTATATTTAATTAGCAATCCCGACGCGTACTGAGCTAACATAATTTATAAATGTTCCTTAACTGCATGGTGTGTTTTTCATTTTGATTACTATTGTAAAAATACTCGTGTACACGCCTAATTAATTTATTTCAATTTGCAGATATGGAAATTATTCGGTGCTTATCTATGATATGGTTCTTCGGGGTAATCACATGTGATTCAATGGGTAAGTTGCTAATAACGATGACTATTTTCGCACATTCGAACGTAATCCCCTATAACCCAGACTTGGCATTCTTCTACACAATTTAAAATTTTGGAAATATTCAGTTCATAGCACCAATATGGTATCAATGTTTTAAATAATTAACCGAGGATATCAGACTAATTTGAATTAACTAGATGTCGAATTTTGTATCATATATATTTTATAATATATTATTCAAAGAATGAATTCATCTTATATCTCTTCACTGATGAGCTAATGTTATCGAGAATACTTTTCATACCTTGTACTATTTGTCACATCTATCAATCAACACCTTGTTTACCTTGGACAGATAACGCAACATGGAGTAATTGGTCTGAGTGGACCGACTGTAATTTGATAGACGGAATCTGCAATAATGGTACGATGGATGGTATTAAATACAGAATGCGTACATGCATTGTACCGCCTTGTAATGGGGACATTTATGGACAAGAAGATTGTACAGTCGAATGCAGTGGTAAGAATGTCTATCAAAGACGATATAATTTGACTGACGGGTTTATTTTAATAATATCAAGATAATGTTACATTCTTTTATGTTTGTCTTTTCAAAGATGTATGTAAACGGGATGGATACCAGTTACGTCATCTCACATTCCGATACGACGACGACTGCCACCTATGGTACGTTTTAAATACCTGATACAGTAACATTGAAATATGTAATTTAAATATTACAATACGGCCTTAAAGCTTTTCAGCGTTTAGTGACAACATTGTGATATCCATATAACTTTGATTATTTCCTTCACAGTGCTTGTTATCAGGGAAACATGAACTGCCCTCACGTATATTGTGATATAATGGGATCCTGCGATGTGAATGAATGCGGTAAGTATGTAAAATATATACAGATCGAATCGATTGATCTTGGACTACTTTCTACGACACACCGTATACGACACTAATGAATGCTCTCACAAAAGTTTATTTCAAACATGATATACCTGTACACACGTATTTATTTCTATTTCATCATTACCTTAGTATATTGTCTTGTATAAGGGTCGTGGACTGTGGTTTACTTAGATACGCTTCTACTTACACTGGCAAGGCCCATTGCTGTGGTCGTGAGTTCGACTCATGTATGCATATTATATGTTCGTAATCTGTCTGTATAGTATTGTAGTAGCTTACATAAAGAGCTTAAAAATCTAGTTGTGTTTATGCAAGTAAATATGCTCAATTAAATAAAGGCCGTTTGTCGATTCGTCATGCATATGCGAGTTTTGTTTTGATTTTCTAACAATCTAAGCAGCAAGTACAAGTGCGAGACTTGATTGCAGCGCGATGTGCACCGACTTTGATTCATGAGAGATTCTTCATTGATTATTCCAGACGTTACCTAGTTAAACTCAGTTGGAGTTTCTTTTGCAGGAGTTGATCTGCGACATATTTGTGTACTCATATGCGCAACGCGAAGAACGGCGTCCATTAAATAGAAATGAATAAACACCATTTACAAACACATATGTTTCGAAAAGAATTAACACCATTATGTTACTTCCGCAGATAGGACATGTCCAGTCGGATCACCACTTGAAAATAAACTTGGCGAGACTGTGTTCTGTAGTATTCAGGATAAGTATGCGTTTCCGCTTGTCGATATTATTGAATGCCCTACTGGATACAGTTGCCACGTTGTTAATAACACTCAAGTTGACTTTGTATCATCGGTCTGCTGTCCGGATTGTGAGTCAAAATATCGTATATTTGAAGAAATATAGTGCACTTATTTTGTTGCTTGTTAACAGAGTTCATATTTACCACGCTGTGTTTAATAGCGTTGTTGGTGAGGTTATGTTTTGGAGTTGGTGGTGTTGTTCAAACCCAATTCCTTCATAAACATGTACACATTTTTGAATAGATTTGATCATACCTACACATGTCTGCGTGAATCATATATACATATATTTACTGCACACAGACGAATTTTCTGTCACTTGCGACAACGATAAATTAAGTATTAGCTTGGAGGAGAATTGGATTTTGAAGGCACTCAGCTTGCAAACGGCTAACGTCCAAAACTTCCATCTAACCGACGTCAGCTGCACCGGTAAACGAGTTACTGTGGATGGAAATGTTATCTATGTCTTCGAAACAGGATTGAATGATTGCGGGACAGAGGTGACGGTATGTAGTGAGGGGTGTTGAAGTGTTGCATTTATATCGTAAACACAGAACGAAATTATGTCATTATGTCATTATGTTTTCCCCAAATTTGTGAACGGTTATAACGAGTAAAAGCGTGATGTATATCGTTTATATGATATCATTGATGAAATTTATGAAAATATGGAAATGTTAGTGTATTTTTGAAAAAAAAACATATTTATTGTGAAATAAATATATAAACATCAAAGTGCTTATTCATAGACTAGTTTGACACTACATTGTCCAGTTGTTAATACTGACGCCACGCAGGCATTGACTTTCTCACGCAGCATTTTGCCAAATGAGTCGTCGTAACTGACATCAAAAACAAAGGCGCCTCGCCTTAAGTTGGTGAAGTACTGGAGTATAGTAAGCGTTCATTATAGAAATTCATTATCTTGACAGGCGAACTAGACGTTTTATACGGGCGGGTGTTTTTGTAGTAAAAGTCCAGAGTTGAATGCACCACGTTGCTACCAGAGATGGTCCTATCATGGATGACTCACAAACTATGATTTTAACCCTAAATCGTTCACGAACGTACGGTGCCTTAGATTATAAGTATTCTTGGGGCGGACATTCGGGCATTTTCACCGCCTGACAACCATCACGGTGAAAACAAAAGCCGAAAACTCTAAGAAGACTGTACGGTTACATTACGTCTACCAATGTCAAGGAAATTAACGAATAATTCGCTAGTGCTAAAGAAACATATACACTATCGAACGTCTAAACATATTCTAGAATGTCAAGTACACAACATACTGATTCTACTTTGATACTTACATCTTATCAGGAAATGGAAATCGAAGGCGTTCATCGCATTCTGTACACGAACTATGTGCATAGTAAACGAGGTACAATGATTGCGAAGATGGAATGTTGCTTTGACACTGAATACACCATTGCGCCAATGCATATTGTTGCAAATCCTTGGTAAGTAATCGTTTGCATGAATGGTCAAGCAGGATTATAATAAATAGAACGAATTAGGGAATCCATATATGATCAAAGCTAATGTATTGAGGGAACACAAGTTCGACTTTGATCAAAGTGATTGCGTCGATATGGAAATCGTAACCTTTATATATGTAAATATATACATATATATATATATATATATATATATATTACAGTCACGTCGATGTCACGTTGGTAGGATCTGGAACTTTCACAGTCGAGAATGCCTTGTGTACGAACGATACCTTCGCAGCGTTATTTGACCCAACAGCTTTCCCAATTGCGATATGTGATGGTGTCTTGATTTACTTTGAAATCGGGTGCATTACTATAGACCCTGGTCTGGAGCTCTTTGTTGAAACATGTTTTGCAACTGACAATTTTGATCCTACTGATTCAAATTCTGTTCACGCTGACTTGATAGAAGATGGGTACGTTGTGCTTATATTCAACTATTTTCGGATAATCAATATTTACACAATTGTTAATATAAATGATACAGCGTGAATGTGTCTTTAAATCTAACATTATAATAACCATTCACATGTTATTAATTTGTATGACAATAATATATTCTGGTACTCATTCTCCATAACATTCATTTTTGATTGATTGTAAATTTGAAATAAGCATTAGTATTCTTCTAAGTACATTGCATAATGTAGTTCCAGTTTTTAGCTGTAAATTAGCTAACCTGGTTGCAATCGTATTTAATAATAATAATACACCATGTATACCAAGATACAATAATCAAACAATATATATAAACATAAACACTCAATGTCTACGGTACTTACAAAAACGCAGACTTGAAAACTTGAGTTGACATGTATATACACTGAAAGTTCTGCTGTATATTTTAAGTTGCCTAAATGAAGACACAATGGTAGAATACACTTCGCCAAACCCACAATGGACCAAACGCTATGGGTGGGATGCATATAATATGGTGAATGATCGACCGGACGGAGAAGAGAACATTGATATTTATATCCATTGTAACGTGGTTATATGCAAGGCTGGCGAAGTAGGCACTCGATGCTCTGAGGTACGATGTCTGAGGCGCATGACAATTGTGGATTAAGAAGCTTACTGTTTTGCATACAATTATTACAAATATTCTCTGTACGTTGGCATTGCATTAAACGGAAAAAAGAAGAAATTAAAGTCACAAAATGTTTGTCAATTGTCCGGTTGAGCACAATGTGTTTATTATTTTATTTCAGGGATGTCTTGGCCGTAAGAAAAGATCTGTGTATGACTCCAAATTTACTTCAGGTAGCTCTATCATAATTCAAGGGCCTCTGAAGAAATCGTCCAAGTAAGTATGGCAAAAAAACAGACAATGATATTCACCTATTGACGCCAATTTTGCTATTATTACCTACCGTAAGAATGAATGTTAATTAATAAATTACTTATACAAATATGTTTATGCAGAAGTCACATTTTCTACAAATGAGTAAATTACATTTAATTCAATAATTTAGCGGCAGTAAATTACGTATTACGTATTTTATAACTGTCTTTAGTATTTTGCTTTTCATAGACCATGCTGTAAAAACACACATAACTACACTAAGTGCACATCAAAAATGATTGTTCCTGTTTGTTTCAGCTGCGAGGCCTAACGTAATGGCGACGCTGATCCAGCAAAATCAATTGTACTTTACTGGAACCTAGTCGTGTTAATGTAGCTTCTTATACAATTACTAGTATCCATCCAAATGAACAACTTCAATTTGTACATTTGAGTTAAATTAAATTGATATAAATTATCAATTTGTATTGATGTTGAATTTAATACGCTGAGACGTTTTGCATTCGAAACGTATAAAATGTGTCCTATCGTTGGCTCCTCATAATACACACAAGTGGGCCACTCTATATATTGCACCATCAAAAACAGATGTCTAGAAAAAGAAACAGATGGCAGAAATATATACCAACAGCGCCGCATGATTATCTGAAATTGTCCTTGAATTACTAACACTTGCACTAAAGTTATTTCCTTACCAAATTTAATTTTGTTTTTGATAACATTTAAAGACGCAGTATACACATAGGCAAAGATTATGCTTGCATCCTGACAAATTTGTTCATTTTAATCATATAAAAAACAGCTATAACGATTACATATCCTTGACGAAAGAGTCGGATACACGGCATCCCATCTTCAGTCAATCCTTAGTAATTATACTAATACCACCAACCCTGCTAGTTGTCAACCTGCTAGTCGCGATTTATCTGAATTCATATTGGTTATTACAGGTACACGAGCTTCGTGCAATACACGGCGGCGGTCTGTCATGTATAATGTTTGAACAGCAGTAACAATAGTTTCCACAATACGTTCTACGGCCAGCAGTTAGTTATACGACCATTTAATTTAATGAGCATAATTTACTAAATGCCCATTATAATTTGTACACTTTAGTTACCGTGTTCAATATTGCAAACCTAAGAAAAACATACATACTAGATACTACCAAGTTATACAATGATAGATAATAAGAATATGCGAATTTTGTTTTTTCTCTTTATTACCGAAATGATGATTGGTTTTGCTCAAGATGCTCTTTAACCCAACTGTCGGATTTGTTTTGTCTGTTACTCCCATACCATCGATCAGCAGTTTTCAACTGCTTTTGATTCACCTTCTCTACGATGGAACGAACAGGAATTCGCTGCGGTTCTACTAAGAAAATACACGCGGTACTTTTGTCCATATATATGACTTAATTGTTCAATTCGTTCGTTATTTGTAGTCCATTATTGTATTGACCGAAACTTGGCTTCATAACTTCGTCAGAGACAGTGGAATTCGGGAGTGTGTAGCCGAGCCCTCACTATGGTATGACAATAACAAATTCATTAACCTTTTGGCTGAAAACTATCTTTTACAATTCAACTCATGACCTAAACGCAACAAAAACATCATTATAACTTTAAATGCATAGGACATTTTTAACTCGTGTTCTAACACTAATGATGCAGTATAATTATTCCATGACTCCTATCTTTTGTAACAGTGTACTGAAGGTTCGTATTTGAAGTGGAAGATTTACTGATAACTTTATTAATAATATTGTTGTGTGATATAATGAAGTTTACGAATTCTTCTTTATAAAATACCTGTGAAAATGTTATCTAAATGCGCTACCTTGTACCATGCCTACCCCTTTACTAACCCTCAGTTACAGGTTACAGGAGGTATGATGTTATTTCTACTTTGTTGCATTTCTATTCAATTAAACTTGAAAACGCAATTCTATGTCCAATTAAATCGCAATCCTATATACAGTCATGTTTTAATCCGAAGATAAGGCAATATATTAAAAATTAATCCAATGTGTGTCGCCACAACATAGGTAAGACGTGGTGTGTGTGAATTTGGCGGGGCCTTAAAAGCACTACATTGTTATTGATTTCAATAATACCCTCTTTAAAAATAGATTTTTCATTTACCATATTTTTATAACCTATTTTGTGAAGTAATTTTGATCCTTAAATTGTCCTTTTTGTCTGTTGCAACAATTAAAAATAAAATATAAAACAAACAAAAATGTCAGACATTATCTGCAATGTATTAAACGTACATGTGGTTGCGAAAGTCGCATAGTATATTTTGTTTCCGTTTAGTTTATATTAAAGGTAGCGGTACAAAATCCCGTATTTAATTTATTCTAAAATCCCTATCTCGCCAATAGAGTTATCTCTTTGAAACGACACAAGATAAGCATTATTTTTCCATTACATGGCGTCTCACGATTCCCTGTGCATTCCGGATTGACTTCATCTGTATGTTTCAACATTTTCAAGTTGTGTTTGTTACGGTTACTATACGATAAAGCCATTTTTCGTTGAGGTATCTTTAAACTATTAGTTATAGTTATAATAAAAACCGATGAATTTATTCGGCAATACAAATGTATCACTTATCTTATTAGATCACTTTTGACACTTGAAATTATTTTGTCCGATATGCAAATTGGTATGTTGATAGGTCAGCCATACCGCCAAGACCAAGTTAAGAATTTCATTATGCAATGGTCAAGTGTTTTAGATTTAGTGAATACGGTCTCAGTTATTATTTTTGATTAGTTTAGGGAATACAAATCTGTTTAAAAAAACCACAATGGTAAAATTGGGACTGCTTTTTACATTCAATTTGCAACATTGCACATGTAGATGCAAGTTGATATATTCAAAAGGTAAAAAAACAGCGAAAAATAGTCCTACTAGCTAAGAAGATGGGATGATTTGTCGTTCATCAAATGCATAAATTTATTTATATATGTATGTGCCCTTGGACCGAAAATAATATACGACCGGTGTTAATGTAGTGATTGATTTCCCAATCCATTAAACGTGGCATAAAAACAGCTAAGCAAAAACGAATACTTCAACCGTTGTCATTGTGCTAGACGTATTCGAGATGCCATGTCAGCGGATACATCGTCAATTGATTATATTCAATTCTGTAACGTATTCCCAATCTTATAACACTACATATAAAAGGTGTATTTTATATACAGGAACGAGGATGCTAACTAAGTCAATGGACTATTGTGACGAATGCCAGGACAAAGTATCAGCTCACATAAAATCAACATGGCTCATCTATGATTATCGCATTGATATGCATGTCTGTATTCAACATCATTAAATATATAAAAAAAAAATGTTTACTGTTTTTGAGAGAAAATTGTATTACAATGGGATTCAAAACAACTCCAAAACGCGTCTTTATAGTTCTGTTTGCTAAACAGATGACTGTGTAAGTCGGAAACCAGTTATGCGTCTGATTGGGGTCGGCTGAAAATATTGATTTTTAGCGCAGATTCATGGCAAAATATTACCATAGTCCACTGACTATGGTATATTTGCGTTAAATATAAAAACACTATCCATGTTATGTACAAACTACACATAAACATGTTTTTAATAAGATAATTGATTTTTTATGAATATTGGCGTACTAATGAACCAATTTCACATTTTATTAGTAAATATATGAATCATCTGTCCAGACAATTTTTTGTATCTTGATCGTGCTGACATTATTTCAGGTTATATCAATTTATCTGATTGTTTGTTGATGTATTGACAATTATAGTCCCTCAAAGGCGTCATTCAAATAATGGCGACGTGATATCCGCCCCAATATTAACACAGTAGAACCCTTTGCTCCCATACGCTTTAGTCTGGCAGTTACGGGTCTTCTGATCAGCGAAATTCCATGTTCTCAATATCGCGATTTCTACTGCGTGCTATGGTGAATCGTTATGACTGGCAAGTATGTACCCAGTCTGTACGATGCTGTTGGCAATCGCATATTTATTCCAGGGATTTATTCATATGCGACGTCGTTCTAATTGGTGATGAGGACGCTGTACTACTATAACCGCATATTCAAAAACTTGATTCAGTGTAAGTTACGTATCATAATAAAGAGCAGAGCGCCCGGGCTAAAACGTAGAGAGATTGTACTCAAAAAAGGTAAAAGATGCAATGTTGACAAAAACGCATATTTTTTATGTTATTCGATGCTCCAAATACCAGATTCATCATAAACTAATAATAGTTAAGTTGTTCGCATGACACACAATGACCCAAAATTAACAACAAACCTGGATCTCATTGTTACAATGCCTATGTCAAATATTTCGTGTGTTTGTTTTTTATCATATACACATTTAAAAGTTTAATTTGTTCAAACACGACATAACCCAAAGCAAGACAGATATAATTGTCACAACGGGTGGTACTATTGCGTATTGTAGGAGCTGAAATCAGAAAACAAATTGTCAAAGATTTAATACATGATAGGCGCGAATTACTTCAAAGTTAAACGCACACAATCCGATTTCATGTAAGGAAATAAATTCCTAAATAGTGACGTAAGCATGGAACATGTCTAGTGCAATATTAACTTTACTTTAATGTAGGAAAATTTATGTTTATTTATTATGCTTTATGTTACAGTAATTCTTTTCACAATTTTACACTCGCTTGCGTGAATGCAGGAGAGAACGCTTCTAAATATGTAAGTTTGTTATTCGTTAGACTGCAACCGCCATTTGGGTGAATGTAGCAACACTTTCCAATATGGAGGAGAATACGTACAATAAACTATACAATAAACATTTTTTTTTAATTCATGAACAGTGACTGATTTCACACGCATTTCAATCCAGATAATCAAACATTAACAACTATAACATTAACAATCAATTAACTCGACGCATCAACATTTTAACCCGTATTCAGTCATAGTCAGCCAATAACATTAAACCATATTTCAAGTAAATTAAAACCTTATATTTTTAAGTTTTAAGATATCTTTTATTACGAGGGGGTCTGTTCCATAATGTTCCAGCATTTTATAAATAATACATTTCAGTCCTGTAAATGAGCCTAAAAATGGTTATTATGGTTTAAAGTTTGGTGGTCTTCTTACAACGCGCGTTTAAATTTACTACATACAAACAATGCACTTTACACGCATTGTGTCAGCACATGTCGTGTCACAACACCGTGGGAAATGGCTCTTTAATTAATTATATAGCGAGTGGTTAGCATAGGTTAGTTGTTGACATCGTATATATTCACTCAGCATTGTTTCTACTTGTTCGATAATCGTAATTCTGTTATTTTCATTAAATAAATGACGCAATTTTAGTTGCATGGACAACGCTTAAAACGTAATCAGCAATTTTATTTTTTTATTTATTTATTTTGCAAGGAAAGTACAATATAATTTCATCAACGAAGGTCGTAAACCTTAAGGTTTAGAGTCCCCTCCCCCAAATCATGTTCAAATACAATACAGCATCTGAAACATTCTATTTGCAACCGTGCTTGAATGAAATGAGCCGCGGAAGCAGCATACATGAGGGTATAGATATATCGAGCGGTGACGCAAATTCGCACCTATATTCCGGCGTTGCGAGGTTTATTCGTACACCCCAAAAATACACCCGATGCCCGCAATGTTCTTTATTACGTTCCATGTCCTTACTACAAAACAATATTTTTTGTCAATTTCATTTAACAGAAGGATTTAACCTTACTGTTTGTTTACGTTCGTTTGGGTATATCAGGTATTGTAGACCGACGTGCATAAATTAAAACTACCTCATACAATGTCAGAATTGTTACACCGTGTAAAATACATTAACCCAAAATTGTGCGTCCTGAAACATCTATCGAGATTTTAGCAGCCGAACCCAAATATCTGTTGCTGAATGCTGCGAGATACAAACTGGTAAAAGTGTTGTTGGTGTTAAGTAAATTGTAACTCACGCGGGTGGCTCCGCTGGCTCGTATGCCGATCATCACGTCTCTGTATCTATATGTACAGTTAGAAGTTGGGTGAAGATAAAATAAAAACGCCCGCTGAATAGCTTCCAGTCGATCGTGTGCGATAAAACAAAATCTGACCAGAATTCGGTAGTTATGTGTGTGTTTCTACACACTACCGAGTTTTGTATTACCGCACACAATCGAACTGTAGAGCATCCTCAAGCTGTATTATGAATATATTAAACAATACTAATAGCATTTAGCTGTATTATTGCAACGACTACAAACCTGTTCCCATGTTTTATTAATAATTCAAACTGAAATAAGATATTTTTATTGAACGACTGAATACAAATGGAACATTTTAAAATCTGTCATTGGTTCCCACGTAAAATATCCATCCGCCGAAGACATGACGTAAATGCGCACGTTGATTCGATGGTTGGATTCAACTTCCATTAAAATGCAAAAATAATAATTTACACGTGACAATAATAATGGTATTAATTAATCACTGGAATATGTTACGCGGTGTAGTCGTACGGTTTTCACACACGACAGTAAGTTAAGGGGGCTTACAACGCCCACTACTTCGGCCAATCAATGCCAAGTCGACGTATTCGGTGGCTATTGACACACAGAAAAGCAATAATATTTGCAAAGCGCTGCGTAAGCGGATTGTGAATGTGATTTGATTTTTTTAACTCTGTCAAGTTTGTCTGACATATATTCCTCAAGAACAAAACGGTTCAATATGCCGTGTTGACGTGAATTTTTTTGTTTATTTTACTTCCTTTTTTGAGTTAATTTTAGTGTCAGGAGAATCCATGGGATGCATAGGTGCCCAAATGGAACCCAAATAAATAATACATAATGGTAAACTTGTAATGAGGTGTTAATAATGGCACAGAAATCAGTGTATAATCGACATTTCGAAACATATACGTTCTTCTGAGTTGAGGGACTATACTTTGACTATTGTATAACAATACAATATACGGCATGTTTTCTCAAAACGCTGTAATGAACCCATGAGTTGACGAATGTTCTCTTTACAGTGTTATACATAACGCTATGCCATGATGTGCAACAGCGAATGACGAACCTATTTAAGATATTGTAATCACTTTTCTGTGCTGATCATTACGCCACACACATATATGTCTCACAGATTAGCCACACGCAACATCTATCATTCAATTAATAGTTTGTACCAAGTTTTGAAAAAATCCTCTGCACACGACTGAGACTTGGTTCCGGAAAGGCAGAAGTGCTTGATTTTGGATGAATTTTATAAATAAGCATAAATATTGTCCCTAGTATTCGACTATCACCAATCGAATCGAAAAACAAATTGACGTCCACACGTTTCCCAAATCGTGCGATGCATGTGTGAAGTTTGAATGTGATTATGCATGAATGAGATACAGACAGGGACGGACGTTACATACGGACCGAATACATGCATAGACATGTACGCACACACGCACGGAGGTCAGTATGTTAGTTCCCGTATTCGGACCTTGTCCGAACGGAAACTAATTAGTACGTGAGTGTGATGCTTATCATCATTGAAGCCAGTTTATCGTGTACACGTCGACCGAATTACTGGCAATGTTACAATAAGAACACTACTACGACAGTTATAGCTTTGTGTCATGTCATGTAGTTACATTTTATTGTATGATAACATGAGAATGTTATTAACGAACAAGAAATAAACTGGCAGACCATCAAACATATTATATCGACAATGACTGTATATAAATTTTGTGCTGTGAAATAGATGTGTATTGATTTGGTACTTCTCTGTTATTTCAATCGCGGGTTATTAATACAATTTGATTTCAGAATTCTAAATAACTTTGAACACATCATAAAATTTGGAACGAGGATGCAATATCATCATGTGACCTGTGACCCTTTAAATCCCATTGTTACCGTGTCATTCGATCACTCCATCGTCTAAGCGGTTACCGGGAGCATCCATTAAACATGGCGCGTCTATCAATTGCCTTTTTAATCTGCTTCGTTGCATTATGCTGCGGTGAGTATTAGTCATCTGTACTACAAACCAAATTATTATTATTTAATACTGCTATAAGTGTATATTTCTATAGTATATATATTTCAGAAATAAAAAATGCTGATGGTGCAAGACGCGACACGTTGCATATATAGAATCTAATGGAATTTGGAAACAAAATATTCCCATATTGGTAATTCTCCCCGCGACGTTCTTCATCTGACGTTTATGTCCATTTAGATCATTCATCTGTGACTACGAAACTCAGTATACCGCTTCTCATTGCAAAATATACAACGGTCGCAACAATGTCATTCGCTTCAAAGTTGCACTAATGCATTATTATTAATATCATCGCTTATGGAGGCATCTGTAGAGCGCCATGGGGAAATATTTCAGTTCGGATATATGTATACTTCGTTGAAGGAATCTCCTCGAACTATTCTGTTATCAGACACGTACCTACACGGTGGCCTGGCCTCGGACCAAATCAGTTTACCCTTATCTATACTGTTTCCGTTACAATCAATGTATGTACATTTTTTAGGTTCACTGACAGTCCAGGGATTGGATAGTCCATTGTTTGGTGGGGAGTTGGGACAAGAACGACCTTTGCTCCGTGCTATCATGCTCTCAAGATTGGTGAAAGAGTTAGGCGGCACTAAAGATATTCCAGCTCCCTTAAGCCGAGGATTAATGGCCGAAAATGTTGCACCCCCAGTATTACGTGTATTGCTCAATCGTTTTGCTTCCAAGGTTAGTGAACGTGCAAGACTTTGTAACATTGATATTTTTGCGCAGTGAAAACTACCAATCGGAAGATTTCATCATATAAACCCAGCCAATGAAAGTCCTGTGTATTTAGATTTTGATTGGACAGAAAACAACTGTACTTGCGCAATAGTTATTTTCAGTTCATTTCATTTCCACCGGCTTTTCCCAGCCAAATAAGATAAACTGTAGTGTAGAATACTGAATTATTGCTCCAAATGTTAACATCTAACATGATTCCTAATGCTCAAACGCAAGATCACGTGGGAAGCTGAAACAATTACAATGGGTGGACTCACTGAAAATCGATGAAATTTAGAAGAAATTACTAGCACGGATAGTAATACCGTCCGATATTTCACCAGGTACTTCCTAG